CCCACCCCTACACTCGCCAATTGTGTTCTGTGACTTCAGCAGACCACGGTGGCCCAGAAGTCATCTTGAAACAGCTAGCTCTCTTTCCCATGTCTGTGCCATTGGGGCAGATGTGCCCAGGGAGGGCCACGCAGCCGGGAACAGCATTCAGCACTCTGCTGACCTCCCGTCTACCTCTCCAGAAATGCCCACAAATGGCCAAGAGGCTTTGGGTTGCCTGTGTTTTTGTTGTTGTTGTTTTTTCCTATTTCTCAGCCATTTCCAAGTGATTTCCTTGATTTCCTCCTGAGAGTAAAGCACTGATTGACCAGGGATTTTAAACCGAAACCCCTCGCCAGAAAGTGCCGTTGACGTGCAGCGATGGAAAACCGTGCTGGAAGCTTATCTTCGCGTTCACAGCCAAATTATATGGTTGTGGTAACGAAGCTCTAATATTTAGTGTAAACTGTTTTCTGTCAAGCTCTTCAGAGGAGAAAGAACCCGTATGATCATCCAAGGACCGATGGTCTTAAATAACTTCCCAAACGATGGCAGCTTAAAAAGCAGAAAGGAGAGGTTCCAAATGAAGAGAGTCCACAGGTCCACAAAGAAAAGCAAGGGCAAATGGCAGGGGTCATGGGAAGCGTCAACACACCCCACTTCCTACAGAATTGTCCCTACGCCATTGTAAACGGAGAAAAAGGAGTACGTGTATTAAGGTGCAGGCTAAAATGTTACAATTATTCCAATAAAAGAGGAACATGGGGCTGAGGGGATGCTTGGGAAACGGGCTTCAGAAATGCAGTCCCATCCGGATCAGGGTCATGTTCACAAGGGGACAGGCTGGGCGGGGTCTGCAGTGAGTCTGGGCTGCTGGAGCCAGTGCACGGGGGATGACGCCGGTCCCCATCCTTGGCAGCCGGTGAAGAGGGGTGGGGACAGGCGCGGTGTCTGGTGAGCATTCACTTAAACCCTCAACACATTAAGCACCCAACAAATGACCTTTCTTATTACCTCCCGTGCTTATTATTACCATATGCAACGCGTGAGGGCCGAGACTGGCATATTCAGAAGAATTCGCTGTCCTCCGCCTGTCCTCTCCCATGAGTCAGACGAAACCTAGAGGCCTGGCCTTGCCCAGAAAGGCCTCCACTGACCTTCGAAAGCCTCCACCTCCCGGGTGGCAGTGTAGATGGGACCCCAGAACAAAGCCAGTGGGTCCCTGAAGACTTGAGAACCATCATTCATCTGAGCCAGGCTGTGGAGACGTACTTGGAGACCTGCTCTGTGTCCAACGCAACTTTCTTGTGACGACAAGTATACATTTCATCTACGTGGCCAGACCTGGTAGCCACCAGTCACGTGACTACCGTGCACTTGAGATGAGGGAAGTGCCAGTGAGAAACTAAGTGTTTACATTCCATTTTTATTAATTAGTTGGATAATTAATGGATTGATTAAATAGATACATGAGGCTAACGGATGCCACACCAGAACCAGCCTGGACTGCTCCTTGCCAGGTGGGCTGGCCAGCCCGAGGCCCAGGGCAGGTCAAAAGATGCCTCACAGGTGGGGCGCCTGGGGGGCTCAGTCGGTTAAGCATCCGACTTCGGCTCAGGTCATGATCTCGCAGTTCGTGGGTTCAAGTTCCGTGTCGGGTTCTGTGCTGACAGCTCAGAGCCTGGACCCTGCTTCAGATCCTGTGTCTCCTTCTTTCTCGGACCCTCCCCCCCTCAAAAATAAACATTAAATTTTTTTAAAAACCAGATGCATCACAGGTGCCAAGCTGCTCCCTTCCTGCCCTCTCCCACCTTCGCACCTTGGGGCATATCTTCTCTGGCCTCAAATTTTGCACACGGACCTGCTGCCGTGGGCTGGGCCCCCAACCCCTCCCATGAGGAGGCCGGGAGGCAGCTGAGCTCGGCACAGCCCTGGATACCGCCAGCCCAACGCCAGGCTGGCACGGGCGGACCAGGAGAGACCTCAGGATGGTGCCCACACACCCCGGGGCACACAGCCAGAGCTCGGGCCAGCTCCACCCGAGGCCTGCCCACCTCTCACCCCGACAGCCGTGCTGTGCCCATAGAAAGGACATGTCCCCCAGATTCCTGGGCCTCCATGTGGACCCTGCTGGCAGAGACAGACCAGAGAGGCCACACAGCCTGCTCCTCGAGGCCTGACAAACCTCTCAACGTGTGCACAGGCTTACACGCATGCACGCACACACACCTGCATACACACATGCACACGCACATTCACACAAATACTCACTACATGTGCACACACACTTGCACTCATATGCACACACATATGGCTTCATGACCATGCACACACAGGCACACGTGAACATGCATACATGTACACTGACACGCTTGCACAGACATGCACTCACATACTCATGCACACGTACGTACACGTGCCCATACACGTAAGCAAACCCCAACAGCAGTAGCAAAGTGAGCCCAGTACTTTTCCTAGCTAAGCCTCAATTTCCTCATCTGAAAAATGGGCATGAGTGGATTTAACCAGAGCAGCAATAATATTTCCCTTGCCGGAGTGCTGTGAGCACTGAATATATCAATGTTGCTGCTGTCGCTGCTCTCGGAATGCTGGGGACCGGCCCTCTCAGAGGCCCACCCTGGGGTTCTCTCAGCTTCGGGCCTGGGCCTTTTTTTGCCCACTGTGTGTTTCCAGCAACTAAATGCTCACGGGATCTAATTTAGGGGAAATTCAGGAATGAATAAGATCAACCCTTGGGGGAAAGCAGGAGAAGGTGGGAGAAAGGTCCCGACCACATGGAGCCCAGAGAGCTGGGTTCGTTCGTGGTCCCTGAAGGCAAAAACAGGAGTCACAGGTGGGGTGGAGTCGGCCACGTCCTCTGCCCCCAGTCCAGCACTTGTATCTGGGGAGCAACAAGAAAGCGATACAAGCCCTTTACAGGCCAAGAGGCAGGAATAAAATCGCTGCTCTCGAAAAGGAAGGAGTGGAGCCCCACTCAGCTAGCTGGCGGGTGTGGGTCCCCCGAGCCTGGCTGAGCCACAAGCGCCAGCCCCATTCTGCCGGAAGGTGACTTTAGGAACATCCACTTACCACCTCCAAGCCCTGTTCTTCAGTCACATGGACGGAGAGCTCCACACCTGTCCTCAGCATCAGGAGGAGACCGGCTGCAGAAGCTGTGGCCACAGTGGGAGAATTTCCGGTTCCCACCGTCCGGCCTAGTCTCCCATTTCCCAGCCAACTAGCTGCACCCTAGCAGGAAACCAGGCTCTTCACCATCTTGTGGAGATACAGCCCCGGTCACCGCTCAGGCAAAGCCAAAGTCAAGAGCAAAGGCTGAGCTCTGTGTCTCAGATCGGTCCCACCCCACAGACCATCCCGTGTTTGCCCCTTGGTTGCCTCTCGGGACTAGACGACGATGGCTGGGCTCCACCCTGCACCCGGTCAGTGCTGGGGCCTGGACGGTGGGAACCGGGCCCTGGCTTCGCAGAGCCTGCTCTCAAGAGGCTACGAGCGAAAAGCAGGTCCCTGGGGGAAGCCCCCTTGGGCAGAGACTCCCGGAAACCATCCCATTCAGCCCTGGGACATCCTCACCACCTGCCACTCCGGGGGCCCAAATTCTGAGGCCGGTTGCACGATGGGCGTCAAAGCTCAAATTAAGTCGAATCCCCAAGGACAGCAAAGCTAGTGCCATCCGGGGTTAAAGATGTAGTGAAGACAATGGTGGGGGTGCGGGGGGGATTTGGAAATGGCCAGGGAAATGGGATCACGTCCTCCAACACTGGCAGCTGGCTGGCGTCCCTCCCCGGAGCTGCGACATCCGCCCCCCAACTCTGAGGCCTGATGTTTAAAGGCCGCTTGTCCCTTGTCTGTGGCTGAGTCCCAGCATGCAGGATGAATAAGCTGGTCCCTCTAAGCCACCAGCCCTGCTCCTCAGAGAGACCCAGGGGCGCTAGTGCATCCTGACCATTTCAGAGCTTGCACGGGGGTCATGAAGCCTTGTGCGCAGGTGCGCCCTGCGGACGCTCTCTTCTCTCTCTTCACCTGGCTGCGCTGTCACCTGGCCCTCTGTCTGTGCCCCCAGGCAGCTTGTCTGGTCTCCACAGCAAAGCTGGACACTCCTTCTGTGTTTGGCCCATTATCATGGGGGCTGTGAAGGGGCTAGAGATCATTTCATTCACGAAAATTCCTCTTAGGGACAGCCCTCTATGCGTACAGAAGACATATTCTGGTAAGTCACTTGGAGCAGAGAGGGAAGGTCCCACAAGGGCAAGCATATGTAGCAAAGGGACGCAAGGCTGTGAGCCAGGGCAGGTCCGGACGTTCGAGAGCCTTCCTTATGCCGAGTGCTGGCTGTCAATACACATAATGGAACATTACTCAGCCGGGAACAAAAGAAGGCCCTGCCATTTGTGACCACCTAGATGGACCTTGAAGGCATTATGTCACGTGAAATAAACCAGACAGAGAAAGACAAATACCATATGATGTCTTAGGCGTGGAATGTAAGAACGAACAAATAAAGCAAAACTCGTAGGTACAGAGAACAGATTGGCAGCTGCCAGAGGCAAGGGTGGGGGAAGATGGGTAAAAGTGGTCAAAAGCTACAAACTTCCAAGTACAAAACAAGGAAGTCGTGGGGATATCATACACAGCGTGGCGACTCTGGTTAACACTACTGTCCTGTGTATTTGAAAGTTGCTGGGAGTGTCGACCTTGAAAGTTCCCATCACATGAAAAAGCGTTTTGTAAGAAGTGACGGATGTGAAGTGAACTGTGGCCATGATTCTACAATATAGTCTTATATCACACCATGACGTGGCACGCCTTAAACTTATCCAATGTCACAGGTCGATTCTGTCTCCGTAAAACCGAGGGGGCTACTAATAGAGAGCTTAATATCGTGAAAGCAGATACGAATTTGTAAAAGTCAAAGAAAATAAAATTAAATTTAAAAAGCATTATTTACTCACTCCTACAAGAGCAGCCAAGGGGGCAGAGCAGCGAGAAGGACCCACCTCAAACTCCAAAGCAGCAGGGACGAGCCATTGCCTGTGGGCCAAATCCGGGCATCGTCTGTTTTTGTATGGCCCACAAACTAAGAATGGTTATTACATTTGTAAATGGCTGAAAAAAAATCAAAAGAAGAATAATATTTCATGACACATGAAAATCATATAAAATTCAAATTCCAATGCCCATAAATAAAGTTTTATTGGAACACAGCCACGCTCATTCATTTACATGTTGTCTACAGCTGTTTTTAAGCTGCAGTGACAGAGCTGAGTAATTGTAACAGCACGGCTTGCAAACCCAATGTACTTATTATCCGGCCCCTCATAGGCACGGTGGCCAACGCTTAATCTACACAATTTTAAAGAATTTTGCCAAGTGCTGCTGTGAACCCAGACGGTCCCCTCCACCAATGCGGGACAGAGACGTCTTCTAGGTGAATAAGAAAGACAGAGCAAACTTTTCGGGAGAATTCTAGCATCTCCTTGTACCACATCCTGTTAAGATGATTAAATAATTTACACACACACACACACACACACACACACATACACATCACTCTTCCACAGAAGAGAGAACAAAAACCATTTTTATCGATTCCAAAATATAAATGAACAATTTTCAGATTAGAAATTCTTTTAGGAAAAAAAAAAAAAAAACAGGGCCCAGTATTTGCTACTTTACAAACACTTATCTCCCATCTTGGTGACAAGAGATTACCTTCTCCATTCAGGCTTTCCCACCCCCCCACCCCCATCATCTGATGAAAGCCCAACATTCACTTTGGGCAAAAGACCCAGGAGACTGACTGGGAAAACCCAAAGGCCAGTGGGGTCCCTTCTGAGCCCTTCGAGTCCCCAGCACCTCCACATCCAGGACCACCATGGATTCTCACAAAAGAGGCATCTTGGCAGAAACAAGCATTTGAAAAACGGAAGGTGAGACTCACCAGAAAGTGCAGACTTAAGGAGGTCCAGTCGGTGTTAAGTCCTTATGGTTTTCAGCACTCCAATTTGACTATTAATATAGGAACGTCAAAATAAAATACCCAGGAGTCAAATCAGCCAGGGAGTTAGATCAGGTGTAATTGTCTTTTGCAGTCTGAACAAAAGACATTTTCCAACCAAGCCAAATAAGGGAGGGGGGAGTTATATAGATAGATATAGAAATGCACACATAAATGTGCTTCATGCAAAATTTCAAATGGCTTCGTGACAGCTCTGAGAACCTGTCTGGGGATAATTTTATGGAAAAGCAGTCAGAATGAAATCAATGAGAAAAGCAAGAATGTACGTTCTGTCATTTTTAGTGGGGAAAATGCCTGCTTGATTTTCCTTGGCATGCTCCCTCATAACCACTTTGAAGACCTCTCAACTGAGAAGGGAAATCCACATCCTGACAGGTTCCCACGTGTTCCTCCCATCAATTATAAATTCATCTTTCATCCATCTAAGTGGAGCGCTTAGAATGTGTGTCGGAGCCCGGGGGGTGGGGGGGTGGGGGGCTGTGCAGAGGCTTACAAGCCCTGCACCCACCCTACCTCCCAGGGTACCTTCGAGCAAGTCACTGCTTCTACTTCCTTGAGCCTCAGCTTTCTCGTCTGTACAATGGGCACGAAGCCCCGCGCTGCCTTCTCCATCCACTGTCGCCAAAGTGTCCGCTCTGGCTGAAGATCTAAGATTGCTTCGCTGTGGGGATACCCTTCTATCAGTCGCTGAAACACAGTACAGAGCAGAGCAGAGCAGGTCGGAAAGCACTTCTGTGTGTTTACACACGAGAGCTGACAGTCTTTCTCCTTCATCCAAGTGGAGAATGCCTCGGCCACAGCAGAGCAAGTGCACTGACTGCTAAACGTATAGGTGGAGTGCACTTTGCAGCCACCCCCCTGCCCTCCAGGAAAGTGTGAACGGCCAAGAAACTGTCAGCTTCTGTTTTTCTGCTGCCTCAAACCATAAAATGTTCACAAAACAACAAGAAAACTATATTGACCCAATCCCCGAGATAGATCAGAACAGGAGAGAGATTTTGATGGGGAGACAAGAGCAGAAAGCTGAATCTTCTTAATGGCCAGGATTTATAACAACCCAGAGTATCTTAAACATATTAGCTCTAGAAAACGCCGGATGAAAAGCAGGGCCGAGTCCTCCGCTTTGCGGGGGCATCGAAGGGCTTGGCCGCGGCCAAGTTCAGCAGAATGAGCAAGACAGAAGTCTCACTGGCTATTGTGGGCTTGCAGAGCTAATATCCTATGAATAGAGATGTTTTAAATGTATTAAACATTGGTTCCCCCCCCCCTTTTTTTTTAGAAATTACTCTGACAGAGCCTTCCTTAAACATTATTTGAATAAAGCCTCATTACTCACAGTCCAAAGAAGTTCATTAGGAGGAGATCGCTTTGGAAAGGAATCAAGGAACTCGCCTTTCTTCTCAGCAGTGAATTACATTAGCTACTTCCTAGTTATTTAAATCTTGAAATAAAAGATGTAAACGCTACTGTGACATCTTAAGATCATTGCGGAGGCAGGCCTCGCATGCACAAAAAATGCCCAGCTGGTCTGCAGATAAAACAGATTGATAATTAGTTGCAAAATGTAACATTTCATCAGGAATATTTTGAATAATCCAATTTATCTTTGTCAGATATGCAGCACATATTTTTCCGGGGAGCAGCTTTGTTCTTTAACATAATATTATAATTTCAGGCTGCTAATG